AGAGAGAGAGAGAGAGAGAGAGAGAGAGAGAGAGAGAGAGAGAGAGAGATCTGTCTGGTTTGACACCTGGGTGGCCCCGTCCTGTTGCGGGCACTGTCGGAGTCCCACCCAGGGACCGTGGACGTCGGGCCATGATCGTCAGCTGCCAGGGGTCCCTGCTGGGCTACGGTTTCTGGACCTCCAACTAGATCACACGTAAGACCATCTGTCCCCCCCGTGCACAGTGCCAAGCCCTTCCCTGCACAGCACAACACAGCACTGCCAGACGAGACTCAGAGCAGGGCAGTGAGGCACAACAGTGAGTCCTAGGCCAGACACACTGTTAGTGTGATGAAATTCTGCCTCTGCAGAAGTAAAAAAGAACATCAAATTTTTACACACGCCACAGGCAGCTCATGCAAAATGCATTTAGATGAGAGGCAACAAACAAAAAAGAGACAGTTGCGAAGACGTAGGAAAGACATGAAGAGTATGTTCATTGCATTGAAAAGACAACACACTGTGAAGTGGAGCATGCCACCAAACAATAAATTGTGTGTCCCTTCTGGTGATTTAATAATAATTCCGAGGCTTCTTTTGCCAAGCATCCAACAAGATTAGCTAACTAGATTAGCTGGGCACCGGAAACATTGTCACAGGTTTTAACAGGCTTTCTGGCTGATGTTAATTAAGCTTCAATAATGGATCAATTTGTAGCGGCCAGACTTTCAGCCCTCTGTCCTCGACGCAGCGCAACCTGCTACCAGAGGCCTGATGGTCTTTCAGTTCTTATTATGACAACAGACAACAACATTAAATACATTTTAAACCCAGCCAGCAGCCGAGCTACGAATGACTCAATACTTCATCCCAAACGGTGTGTTATGTTGAGCAAGCTGCTGAATTACGGAGTTTCTGTTGCATTCCTTTTTGGGCTTGTTTTGAAAATGGCTTAGCTTTTTTTATTTTTATTTTTATGTATTTGTGAAACAAGATGTCATCTAACCAGGAAGTTAGCCCGTCTGGCGTGTTAACGATGTAAATGTAGGATTGATTTTATTGTCAGTAAGGATATTTCATTCTAATTTTCCTGTTGATTCACAAATGTTGCTCTGTGGAAAACATTACAAACATTCACTGCCAGATATATTGATATTTTCTGTTGTTGCAGCGTTTCGGGGCTGGAAATCACTTCTTTCAATACTTTTTTTGTAATTGCTGTAAAGCTACTGCCAATGAGACTCAACTCTGTGTACACATCTGGGCAGGAAGTGTTGACACTGACGGTAGCTTCACAGAGATCGCAAAAAAAAGCGTTGCATATAATTAGTGAACAGACACAGTGTATCTATGTTAGAGAAGGGAAACTCACACAAATGAGTGGGTATGAGACAAAGGTGTTGCTGTGCAGAATAAGTGCTGTGGAATGTATATTATACTGAATTCATCAAGACAATGAGTAAACATGGAGGGAGTGTTGAGCTTGCATTACCATCAAACAGCGTCGACAACAAATTAAAATGAGAGCAGATCCGGAAAAAAAGGAAAATATAATCAAATATACTTTTTCTTTTTCTTAAAAGTCTCTAATATACTCTTCTTTCAAACAACAGTCTGCTTCTCTCTGCAGCTAAGGTCAAGAAACAGCACAACAAATCTTCTCAACTGTGTGTCTGCGTTATAAATCAGAAGAAAGCTTTCCTCTTGCTTAATCTCCTTTCAACATCACTTTTTGGCTCATTTAGTGCCAATAATCATTGTGTGAAAGTGTGAAAGCAGAAGCTTGCAGCCGCCACATAAACCCTCTCCCCGCAGCCTGCAGACTCTTATCATGGTGGCCATCAAGCTTCATGCGATACAGTGCGATGTGGTGGCATGGCAACAACGGGCCGCGGAGCGGGAGCGGGGGAGAGAGTCGGGGAGCAGATTAGAGTGAGAGCAGGGAGACAAGCAAGAGAACGCCCATAATCCTCCTGTGTAGAGTGTGCAGACTAAACCTGCACAACAGTGATACACAGACGCACAAAGAAAAAAGGCTGTCTTTTTAATGTGCTGAAAAAGACTAAGAAAAGAAGTTGTTGCAGAGTGAGAAACCGCTCAGTGAATTAAAACAAATGAGGAATAACACGAGTAAACACGTCATGCTGCAGAAGAGATGCAGCCGCCATCTGGGCCAATCAGGCGATCAATTCTTGGGTAAGTCACATACATCAAACTTTTTTCGCTGCGGGGCTTAGGTAAGCTTGTCGGTATGTCATTATGGAAGTGCGAATGCCAGCAGGATGACAAGGGAGATAAAAAATATTTGTCCAATTGTCTCCTTAAAGCCACAAGCTGCAGACTGTCATCCCAAAAGGCTACATCGTACGGAAGCCTTTGATTTTAGTTTCCGTTCATTACAGGCAACAGCAAAGAGATTTAAATCCTCAAGCTTTTTGCTGGTGATTATAATTGTGCAGATGAGTTTCTCCAATTTTCACTCGCTGCAGAAAGTTGTCTGGCTACACTCTGAAAGGTCAAACTGCAAACACGGTCGAACATCAGTGCAGCAGTGTGAGAAGTGGCACTTGCACCATTCTGCTCACAGA